GTTTAGTTGAAGACTTGTTTCGAGTGGATACAGTGCATCTGAAACATGTCTTGAAAACGACAAGTTTCAGAACTTTAAAACATAAAGACATGTTTAAAAAGTTAAAACGTCGACCATCTTTAATTGGAATTATCTAGCATGTGTTGTAGAGAAGTATAGAAAGCAGGGTCTTCTGCTAAGCTGCCTTGGAGCAATCTTCGTATATGACCTCGAAAATTTTATTAAAGAATCAAAAGTATCTTTCTGCGTCTTTCCGCCAAAAATATCCCTAATATGGATAGAACCTTGATCAACCGAAGTGGACTGTTTGTTTCTAGTGTGTTTGTTTTTTTTTTTGTTGGAGTTCACACATCACCAATTCAAGAGGGTCTAGGTGGAAATGGGTTTTAATTTTGAACTGGTAACTTAGAATTGGACAACGTTTTAACAGCCAGCTGAGAATTGACACATTAATTTTAACTGATAATGGAGATCGGAAAAATTTACTGAGTAATAAATGAGCAAAAATTTAAAATGTTAGCCGAAATGTTAGCTGATAACTGAGGTTCCAAAACCCAGTCCACACCTTCTTTTTTAATCTGTCGCAGAAAAGGTAGCCTTATCGAAGATTATCTGCTTACTAATGTCCTGGTTTTCTTAACATTTTAAATTGCTTTCAGAAGCATATCACAATGTTATTCTTTGTGTGTGGATTGACGATGTTAGCGACAACTGATGCGAAGAAAGCTTTGAAAGGTACTTCTCTGCGTTTGTTATTTCTAATCAGCACGGATTTCGTCTTTTACAGCTACAGACTTATCAATCGTTCACTTGTATTGAAAATAATTATTTTTTCCTCAAGGATTAAGTCAGTTCCTCCAGTTTTGATTTCATAGCGTTGCTGCTATATAATAATGCACTGGTTGTAACTCGCTAACTTACACATATAGCGAAAAGAATTGTGCAAAAGACCTTAACAAGACAGTTGAACTATCTTTTAGTGTTAATATCTATGTCTTCCAATAAATCAGGTTTTTGACATGTCAACACTTAAAAGAAGGAAATATACACATGTAGTTTCATTTAAGAGATTAACGGAGAATATCCGGCCTTTTCGACAGGAACATGTCTGAAAGGCCATTTTGCTGTGACTACGACCTAAAAGTTATTTTTGTACTAAACAATGGACTTGCAGGGAAATGTCAGCTCACATCCAACTGCAGGTTGTTGGTCCCCATTCATACATTTTTATAAAACCAAAAATAGTGACAAACTAAAGTATCGAAAAGCATCGAAAAGTATCTTCTCCGAGAGTACTGTTTCATGAATAGTACCTGTTCTCAAACACAAACTTAAACTCGTCTTCTACTTAGCGACTTTTACAACCCATCACTTCATCATTAAACCAGGTTATTAAAAAAAGCAATTTTTTAATATTTATCTACAGCAATTGCAGGTGAAGTTGTAGTAACCGCTGCATGTTCTATTACCCGTAACGCTGCACCACCCCCGGGTACAGAGACACCCGTAAAAGGAACAGTTGAAATGAAGCAGGTAGTAAGATGTTAGGCATTTGTTGGCATTTTAATCTTCAGTGATCATGAGCTATCAATCCTATTTAAAAGCCTTCGGTCGTCGATATCTTAGTCCCGGGGAAATTCTCAGTCATATGAAAAAGGTCGGGAATGCTCTTCGTCTCGCTTAGAGTTATGAATCATCGACTTTGGCTTCACATATCAGAATGAAACACCACTATTTTTAGCCGTCAAGGTGTCTTTTAGAGTTGCACTCGAAGAAATATAATAAAAGAACGCTGTCATGTCTGTTTTAAAGCCGCGGGGTATCTTTTGCACAAGGGGTCAAATAAAGCTCGAGCCGCGGAAAGATTGGTGTCCTTTAGCTATACGGGTTTAATTCAAGTGTTCCCAAGAGCATCCCCGACTTGAAAAGCGGTCGGCATTTCCGTTCACTACTGGTCTTGCTTGAACAGGAGTGGAGGTTCGCTACTTCTTTCCTCTCTTGAAGAGGAACTGCATGTCTAAGTATAACAAAGAATACTTATTTAATAAAGTTTAAAAGCGCAGAAGAAGAAAACTCTGCAATTCTTATATTCAGTCATGTCAGGACACATCACGTTACTTAGTAAAGAAACTCCTCTGTTCTGGATTGAGAATGTGGGATCTGTTTCATACTAAAATCTGCAACAGCTCCAGTCGATTACTGGGTCTGATTTTTAACTGCGCTGTTTGATGTTTTTGTTTCCCAGCCAATCGGTGGTTCTACTACCATGAATATAAACATTTCAGGCCTTCCTCCTGAAACGCTACACGGCTTCCATATCCACGAGTTTGGAGACATTGCTACTAAGGGTGAGCTTACTCCTCTAATGCTAAATATACTAATAGCGCCAGCACTTCGAAATTGTCGGGTCAGCGCCGCGATACAGCGATATATAGCAACGACAGATAAAATTTAAGAGCACAACCAATATTAGCGTTTGAGAACCCTGTTGTTGGTTTTGGTTATTCATGCCATGAGGCATTATGGGAAGACCAGAAACTGCAAGGGACCGTATACGATTAACTCTGCCAACGTAGGATCTACAGGAGGTCTGATCAGCCAAAAAATGTACAAAGACAAAGAATAGACTGCAAGGCTAATGCAAGGCTGCGTTTTTAAAGCATGATGCTGGCCATGCGGTTAAATGTTTAGGCTGCCCTTGTCCAGCCACATTTATTTTTTGCTTTTCGAGACACCAATCGTGACACTTACATACACACATACATACATAATTTATTTGATAAAGCAGGTTGGAGATCAAAATTGGTAAGACGCTAAGTCCTGATGTGGACCTGCACTATCTAAAATTATAAATTAATAAAATCCTACGTCTCCTTGGACCTCGAAACACGTAATGTGGCAACGCGTGTTTCGGGGCGCAAGTGAATTCAAAGTACGGAACTTGATGTAGTGAACGGTTCATTTAGCAATTTATGTGCGTTAGCTCTTGGGCTGGTGTTACATATCTTCGCTACACAGTGCTGACGAGTCCCAATAAGGACGAAACAGCCGTCCACTGTTGCGATCCTGCTTTTAATATCGGTTCTTGTCATGTTGGTCTCTCGAAACGTCTTTCACGTAGTATCAGCCTTGCAGTCTATTGTTTGTCATTATGGGAAGGACGGTAGGAGGGGCGAAGGGGCACCGCGGTACTTATCACGCCCACAATATTTGAACCCTGGCTGCCCCCTCAAGACAGTTTTACCTGTCCCGACTAAAATTTCATGTCCTGTCGCTGGCATTAGCCCGCTTAATACGGACAAGGACTGATTTCTGTGACATGAACCTCCAGAAGATTTTTCAACAGTCCCTTCTCCGAATGTTTCCTGAAAGGAATACAAACCTTTTCGAACATTTCCGAATTTAAGAAAGATTTTTGAAGCTTTTCAAACACTTTCAAGGAAAATCCAAGTTGATGTAGACAACTTTTGGCTTCATTAGCAATAAATTTTGGAAACTCCTTAGGAAACGTGGCAACACCAATATTCTTTAGTGTCAAAAGATATAATAAGATTTTTTTCAGGAAGGAAAACGTGGTAACTCATGCTCTAGTCTAAAATACTACTTGTAATAAGATAACATCAATATGGCAGGGAAGTAACTTTTTTGAGCAAGTTGTGAACAACTGTTGAGGAACTTTACACAACATGAGAAACATTTTAGTAAATTCAAGATTTTGGAGCAACTTTTGAGCAACTTTTAGATTTATTGAGCAACTTTCTGAGCAATTTTGAGCATCGTTTTTACAAAATTAGAGCATCTTGTGGAAAGCTCTTTTCTTGATGCTCTATATCGATTTTGTCAGGAGAAAATAAATTCTTGAACTTTTCTGATTTCATTCTCATTCAAACGCGTTATTGGGGTAATCACGAAACACTTCTCTAAGGTGCGTGGCGACCGAAGTAACGACTGCGAAGGCCTGGAGGCGGCTTGTTTCATGGCTTGCATTGGCATACGCGCAGTTTACGAAAACACACAAACAAACAACACTTTTATTTAATGCCTTCTTTTTTATTTCTAGCTGCTAAATTAAAGCAAAACCCACTTTTATGTGCTCTATGGTATACAATTATATTCATTTAATCACAGTTCAAACACAGTTGTTACACAGCTTACTACATTTCGTATCTCCGTTTTTCCTTTTCAACAACATAAAGCAAAAAATCTCGAATACTCAATGTTACTAGAATTAATGGAACCCTTAATTTCTGCAACTAGAATGCGAAAAAAAAATTAATCATCTCGGAAAATCTGCCTGAAACTTGAAACTGAAACTTTCCAGGACTGTCATCAGGCATACAGAACATAAACATTACAGCAGACCAATCCTTTATTGTCGCCTTCGAACCAGTTCACCAAATCCTCACCATACCACAGCCGCAACTCTTGGCCCGAGCTCACCGAGTAAGGATAAAAACGCGGCAGGATGATCTCAGGAGAAAACGAGTTATATCCGGGCAACTCGGACCACCTTCCAGCACC